CTGCTGGCGGGCCCCTCGCCGCCGGCGGCTCGTCCTCTCCCTTGAGCCATGGAGACGGCTTTTACGGTGGCAACGAGTATACAGTGCTAGTGGTGGTCTTGAAGCCCTCAAGGCGGGTGTTTGCTGGCGCTGCTCCGGCCCCGACGACCTTGGACCCGCGTCCCTTTCGGTGTCCATGGCTGCCGGCGTCCTCTGCCGGGCGGCTCCGGCCTCGGCGACCTAGCAGCTGCGTTCCTTCCAGCTTGCCTAGTCCCCCATGTCCCGACGACTATGGCCATGGTAGCCAGGATCTGCGTCCCTCCAGTCCTTGCTTGTCGGTGTTGCCGATCGCCGTCGCCCCACCCCCTTGTGGCTTGCTTCATGCCCGCCCTACCTTGTATGCCTAAAAGCCCCCGCTTTTGCCAGATCCAATGTTCGTGGCTTCGGAGGCGGTGCCACCCTTCGACAGCAGTTGCAGCCCCGCCAACCCCCTTCCGACATGGTGATTCCGACCGGCGTTGGCATCCTCATCTTTGTTTCCAGAGACGGTGGCTATGGGATTGCTCAGCCTCAGGCCAGGGAGAAATCCCTGCTCGGCTTGCCGATGCTGGCAGCGGTGGCGTCTGCGAACGTCGTTTTCCTTCTTGGAGGCGTTGTTAAGGCCCTCGGCTGCGCCCCTCTTCGAGCTCAGGGGAAACCCTAGGTCCGGTTCCTCCGGATCAGATGGTGACGGCGTCTCGACGTCGTCCTCCTTCTTGAAGGCGCCATCTTGCTCGCTCGAGGTGTCCCCGGTTTTGGTTCCCGAGATGTTGATGGTCGAGTTGGTTTGACGTTGCCACTCTTGGTTCAGGTTTGGTAGGTTTAGCTGTGTTGTATCCTCTCTTCGGGTCAAGCATCACTTTTCTTTCTGCTCCGGTCACCATGTTCACGCCTCCTGCGTTTGTGTCATGTGTTGTACTCCTATCTATACTCATTCTATTTTCTTCTATCAATGCAATGATACGCAAGCTTTGCGTATTCGAGAAAAAAAAGAACAAAGTGAATGGGCTTTCCACAACATTACTGCTTTACTACAAGCTTATTGCACCATCTGTTTATCGAAATATATGTACCCTCAAAACCAGTCCCACGGAAATAGGTATATTGCTTTCCATTTACGATCCATTATAGATATTTCCGGAGGGATATACGAGAGGAAATAGATGATAGACACAAACAAGTTCCCAAATCCTGGAGCGGGACAATGGGCGTGCCCCGGCCCTGCATGTCACAAACTCCTGCCTACATAAAGCTCCTAGTTCAGGCATCAGCACTCATAGTTGTGATTCAGACTTGGGTCATGTTGCAATTCAAAGCAGAGAGGAGATTAATCTCCCCGGGGTGGTGAGTCGCTTAAGTGGTGGAAAAATCAGCATTGCATTTCACCGCTTCTGAGATCACGTGGTGAAGGCTAAAATATTTCTCGGTGTTTTTTTTTCCTGAACTTTTCAATGTTGTATTGGTCCTCTAATACTAAGATGAGGTATATATAGAGTACAAGTGTGAGAGAAAGACACTTGGGGTAGAGGCAAGTCATAGATAATTTTATACTTACTCAGTTCGATTGATTTTATGTTCTTCATCGCTTCCTACCTTTTCTCCTTCCTCTACCCCACGCATCTCGTGCGGAGGCATTGTGTTTATCGCGGCAATTCATACCTGCACTTTGCGCCCTCGGGATTAAGAAGACAAAGTAAAGCGTCTTGAATTGTTCGTTACTGCTGATTACTGAAAAGTATTACTCCCTTTAATTCAAATTAATTGACAAGATTTGGTACACCATTAGTACAAAGTTGTACTAAAGCCCCATCAATTAATTTGGATCAGAGGGAGTACCTCTGTTAGGAACAGAGGGTGTACTTTGTAGTATTAGGTTGGACATAGCGCACTCTGATGAATTGGATATGTAAATAAGTATAGTTCTAGATGGATTTGATATGTAAATAAGTATAGTTCTAGATGGATTTGATATGTATTTCCATACAAACTTCAAAATACTAATCCTGCCAGAGACATCCTGAATTACAATAGCTTTGATAGTTACCATCCACATAGTCCAGATCTATTCCTTCTTCGCAACATTCACGACACAATTACGCAAACTCGACATAAGGTTCAGACAAAGAGAAACAGAAGCGAACCAAATAATTACTCCGCGGTCTTCTTAGTCACCTCGACAAACCAGACACGAATCGGGGAAAAATGGGCGTTTTCACCGCAGCTCAGGTGGCAAAACATCCAGTAAAACCCCAGTTTACTTCTTCGCCTTGCTCACGAGTCTCTGCCCCCCACGGTTTTGCCAAGCACCCTTCACAGGCCACCTCGGCTCCTGCAAAGGTCCATCGGCTGCTCCACACCCTTCTCTCAACGGCGCTCTAGAGCCTCCCACCTGCGACTGAAGCTTGCTGGCAGCACTCAGGAGCTTATCTTCTAACAAATCCTGTGCAGCAGCAGGAAGTTTCCCCTTCCCCTTATTTTTCCGGGTGCTTTCTTTCGAGCAAACAGCTCCACCGCCACCGTTTCCTTGGAGGCTTGTAAGGCGCAAATTCGCGTAGTAGGCATCAGCAAGCTCCTTCTGCTTTTGAGGATCAGGCAGCAACCTGGACATTTCAAGAACGAGGTGCGACAGACCAAATTGTTCGACATATGAAAGGTACTTTGAAGCATTGATAACGCCTTGACGGTACTCCCCAGAGATCTCTTTGAACATCGAGTACCTGTCCCGGTCCATTCCTAATGCAGCCTGCATTCTTTCAACCAATGAATTATTCGCTGCACGAACATCATCCACAGAGCACAACACCTGGCGGCTCACAGGTGTTTCTTGCCTTCCATTTCCTGCAGAAGTCAGACTCAGCGATCCACTAACGTGAGGACTTGTGTTGGGTGTAGGCCAACTTGGGGAGTGACTTGAACCAGAAGGGATCAAATCAGTATTTTTAAGGGACCAATGCTGAGCAGAATGGTGTGTATTCACAATTCCGTTGCTTTGTTGTCGGAGCCCAAATGCATGAGTGTTCTCAGCTACCTTTCGTACCCCCTGCTCTGTTGACGCAGCAGTTCTGTTATTACTGCCTGATAAAGGAGGGAATTCCAAATCCATTGCGCGTGCAGCAGTCCGTGAGCTCCGACTGGCAAATGGTGTATACCCTGATTGCCCTGATATGGGAGGGGATGGAGCTTCTTGAAAACAGGAACCTATTCTTGCATCAGGAACCTCCTGGCGGGAGAGGGGAGGAAAGTGTGGTTGCTGCCAAACACGGTTCATCCCAGAGCTTTGGCCTGCTTGTGATGAGTGCCCAGAACTAGATCGCAAGGGAGACACAACAGCAGCAACTTGATTTCCTGAGCCACGGCCCATATTTGCAATGCCATTCTGAACAGACAGCAAGGTATTGTCAACAGAACCATTGGGGAGGCAAGCGTTGTGCCTTCTACCTCTGCCATTACTCTGCTCTAGCTCGCTCCGGTCTCTAGAACTGGTTGGTGTCTGTCAATGAAGGGCAAAGTAAAATAGATCAGCTTACCGCGCCATTTTTATTATCAATATGTATATGCTAGCATGTCAATAGTTGGCTTAACACAAGAGATGGAAATAAGGCAGATTCGTTTGTACACCTGGAGAGCAGAATTCTTCTGTGCATGAGGCATGCGCTTCCTATGCTCCACAGCATTGTGCCTCTGGAGGGAACAAGAAAAGAAAAGATGTAATATCAGTAAAGGATAACCAGTTATCATGCACTAATCTAGTGACATGTCCAGGGAATATGATTTAACAATATATCATTTGTGTTTGACTTGCCTTAAGCTCTGCTTCACTTTGGAAGACAATGAACTTCTTCTCCAAGCACTCTCTGTCCTCGCAGAAGAAATGGTCTCTTCGGAAATGCATCTAAAGGGGCACATGCACCATGTTAGGTTCTAACATGAAATTTACCACAATTTTGACTTGGAATTCTGTAGCAACTTGTTATTCCAATTTAATACAAGTCTACCACTAAATTCTGTACCATAGGATTGATATGCAGTAAAAATCTTGTGTGGGAATGGCATGCATAGGCACCGAAAATGGAGACCATGCTATATCCACATCAAGGATAATATCTAGCAGGCACAGCTCCAGTTGGAAGAGATAGACAACATGCTATGGTCTCGCTTAACTGCTACGGACATGACCTTCAACTGCGGAAGTGATGTGACATCAACTTAATCAATATACTCATTACAGTGTTCCGAAAGGCGGCTGCACCCTACCAAAATTTTGGTCATGACCCAATGATTGGTCTTTGTTTGGATGGTTGCCAATTATTTGGCATGCCAATGAACTCTAGCCAACTCTAGTTCATTTTTCTTGCCAATGTTAGCCAAATCATTGGCAACCAAAACCTCAACCAAAATTTTGGCTAGCCAATGCTTTGGTGGGGCAACCTTGGGCATAAACCAAACACACCCCTGCATTCTAGGGCACACCCTCTTGCCTAGGCAGCCGCCTAATCAGCGACTAGGCACTGGTCTGCTTCCTGATTAGTGCCTAGCACCTTGTGAATGTACATTGATGGTCCAAACATAAGGCATACTTAACAAATATAGAGTCGGAGATTAAAAATGGGTAAAATGTACAATTCTATTCAAATAACCTAGTTGGGCAAGGATAGTAACTTATATCTTATCTAAACAATATTTGGTATCCACTACAATATCTCTGTAGTACAAATTTGCCCATAGATGCAATGTTTACATGTATTTATGTTGGTTTGACTGCCTAAAATTAAGGAGAGGATTCCTTATTCGGCCCTTTCTTAAAATTTGCGTCCCTATTTGGCCCAAAACAATTTTTCTTCCCTATTTGTCACTAAATATATAATTTGTTCCCTATGTGACACTTTCATCTATTTTTGGCAACTAAAGGTGTTAACTGCAATGTGAAAAGACAATCTGCCCCTCGTGTTATAGATGGCTTAAAAAAAAGAGCGTTCATTTCTTCAGCCTGGCGGAACAACCCAGCCAAGACATTGCCGTGGAGCTATAACAGGCTTTAAAAATTCGTATCTCACTTTAAAATTCAACGCATGTTACCTCACAAGCTTGCAACGGCCTCGCGTGAAGATGACAAGTTCTAGTACTGCAAATATAAACACGGCGTCCATTCAGATGCATGCACAAACGGACTTTAGGAGCACCGTACCATTTTTGCTGCATATACGTACGCACTGTCAGACTCATGAGTGCATGACGGGGTGCAACTCTCCTTGTGCCTGATGCACGCGAATGCAACATATGCACCACAGCACCAGCGGCGGTCTGTAGGAGTTAATCACAATTTACACAACTAAAAAAAAGCTACTGCAGTACAAATCCTAATTTTTTTGTGACTCTTAATGAATTAATTTGAGTTAGTCTGAGTTGATGTCGGTCTGTATGTTCCATTAGCTTTCACTTTTGGCTCTCGTCTGGCTGGCACCAATAAATCGGCTCAGTGAAATAAATGAACGCTCTTTTTCTCAGCCTAGTATAATACCAGGGGTAGAATGGTCTTTTCATGTCTCGTTAGGGGCCAAAGTAGTCAGAAGTGTCACATAAGGAACAAATTTAACATTTGGTGTCAAATAGGGAGGAATAAACTTTATTGGGCCAAATAGGGGAGCAAAATTTAAGAAAGGGCCAAATAAGGAATTCTCTCAAAATTAAGATAGCACTCTGACTTTAGTATAACTATGCCAACTTGATATGACATACCTCTAAGTCATCATAGTTCCTGAAATAATCATCCTGCCCACCGTGCTGCCTGTAAACAACCATGAAGTCAGAGACAGCATAACTTTGTACTTATGCCCCAACAAATAAAATAACGGTTGCGGAGCACCTCTGACATATGTGACAAGAATAATGTTCTCTTGTCAAATGTGTATCTAGCTCAGTCTCTCCATAAAATGGGCTTCTACAAAACTTGCACATCGGGTGCCCTGCAAAACCCCTGCGCTCAACTTCCGAGCCATCCACCTCTGAATCACCGGTTTTTATGTGCTGATTTAATTGAGGCCTTGTATAAAGTTTCTGCTCGCAAATAAATACCTGCTCAAGACAACAATAGTACAGGAATTTATTATAAAAAACAAATATTGTGGAACACATGAAATATTCATTACACGGGCTACAAGCCAAGTATGCAATCATGATAAGCAGGATGTACCTTCATAACTAATTTGCCCTGCTGGTAAAAAGAAATCAGTAGGAATTTGCAGCATGCCAAACATTAAATCATTATGCACCAGGTTGAAAAATATGGTTCAACTATGTTAATTTGGGTGTTCTCCTAACTATTTTAAGCATGTACTCCCTCCGTTTCTAAATATAAGTCTTTTTAGAAATTTCAATACAGACTACATACGGATGTATAGAGACATGTTTTAGAGTGTAGATTCACTCATTTTTCTATGTATGTAGTCTGTATTGGAATCTCTAGAAGGACTTATATTTAGGAACGGCGGGAGTAGATGTGAACTGCAAGAGAATGGAAATACTAATTTGCGCACACAAATCTTGTGAACTATTTAACCATTGTTTGTTCACATCCGATGTAATAAACTTGAATGTTGGAGTGAAAAGAAGTGATGGAACAGGTTAGATATTTTTATCTACTTTTAGGAAGAATACATACATTTTTGCTATGGTCTAAATGAGAGAATTACATGATATATCATCCACTGGTGGATAAAAACAAGGGATGACACGTGTTCAGTTGGTATGGAGAGTAATGGGCTAGCAAAAAATAATACAATCAACACTCAGGAAATAATACTTCCATTGCTACATGTAGATGACAACAACAGCAACAAAAATATGGCAAAACACTACTAGTTTGTAACTGATACTAATAGCATCATACAACAACATGACCTAAGAACTATCATGTCAACAGAAGAAAAAATCAAGTCTTAATGGGTTAGTAACTGGTATTGAGCACTGCACAACTAAATGCAAGGATGAATTGACCACGCCGCACCAAGTTATATATGTCTAGTGTTGCACGAAGCTATTGGTATTACCAGCAAGCATTTCATCACGTTAGAAAATAGGATTAAAGCAGTTAACAAGGACAAGCAGGCCATCAATTGCATCACCTTCCTCCCATCCAAGCAGAGGTCGCACATGTACAAGCAATGCTTGTTGGACAGATGGGCTTTGAGCTGCTCGATGGTCTCGAACTTGATCTTGTGTTTCGCCTTGGACGACTTACTGCCCTTCTTCCCCTTGTTACCACTGCTTTCGCAGACGGTGCAGGAGATCCGGCAAATCGCCCTTACCATCCTGTAATGGTCAGCGTCGTCGAACCACACCTGCGTGGCCTCGTGGTACCAGTAGTCCCCGGTCTTCCCCTCGCCGGCCGCGGCCGGCAGCGCCGAGAGATCGCCGATCGCCTTGGTGCGGTCCCCCATTTCCTGGGCAGCGAGAAGCCATCCATGAGGGCGGAATTCGAAATTTGAGACGTGCGCGGCGCGGGGGCGGCGCGTGGGGCGAGAGGGGTTGGGGGCGGGCAGGGGAAAAGCGCTGATGAAATTGATGTAGCAACTTGAGAGGTGGTGCTGACCTTGGTGGCGAAGACGGCGGGGCAGTGGGTCATGCAGAGGCAGCAGCGCTGGTCGCGGAGGACGAAGCGGAGGCGGGTGACGCAGGCGGAGCAGACCTCGCGGTGGCCGCAGGCGCCGTAGGCCACCCATTCGAGCCGCTCCGCGCAGACGGCGCAGGCGTCGTCCATGTCGAGCTCCACGGCGGAGGGGGGCGCCGGCGGCGGGGGAGCTGGCCTGGGTGGCGGGGGAGGAATCTGCTGGTTGGAGAAGCGGGGGCAAACGGAGGGAAGGGGAGGGGAGGGGGGAGGAGGGGTCCGGTCGAGCGCACGACGCCACAATGTCGGAGTTGGTGGGGAGCCCTGCACAGTACGGTAACTGCTGGTGCTGGAGCGGGGGAAGTGTGTGTTGTTTCGATTGGGATTTTCCCTTGAAATAGCCAAACTGATTAGGATCTTTCCCTTGTGTACTTATAGAATTTATTTAAAAATATTACATCAATGTTATTATAAATTAAATGAGATAAAGATACCGAGAGAGACATATCTAAAAAATCTCGGCATAAACTATGTCAATCCAATGACCTATATTTCTTCAATTTTAGCATGCAATTATTTAGCAAAAAAATAAAAAATTAGCATGCAATTAATATCGTACCAAATATTAAGATCTACATTATACGCATAATCAATGTGTTATTATATCCTATTTAATATCAATGCCAATATTTTTCTAATATCAACGTGCATTACATGTATGTATTCACTATAGTATTTGAAAAGAGAAAAATTGATTAGGTTTTGTGTTATTTTTTTTATTTTGTGAGCAAACTTTCGATCTGTTCATCATGCCATGGCAGTACAAAAGAATACATAAATAATAAAAATTATATCTATGCCCGTAGACAACCAAGCGACGACTATAAGCACTCGAGTGAGCCGAATGTGTGTCGCTGTCATCGCCCCTCCCTCATCGAAGCCTGGCCAAACTTGTTGTAATAGAAAGTTGAAAGGTCGTCGTGTTAAGGCCCCGCGGGGCCTACACCAGAGCAGCAGTTGTCGCCCATGAAGAGAAGTGCAAATTAAAAGGATCCAACAAGTAGGCACACAAACCGAAGACGAACTAAGACTTCAAGGAGATCCACCAAAGACCAACACCGATCGAATCTCGCAAAATCCGTTGGAGACACATCTCCACGCGCCCTCCGACGGCACTAGACGCATCATTGAAACAAGGACTAGGCAGGGAGAACATTATTCCAACTTTAGAGAGCAATTATCGTCTCTTTTTCCGAGCGGAACACAAACCCTAAAAAAATTCACAAAAACACATAAAAATAAAAAGCAAGATCCCTCATGCCGGCAAGGACCGGGTCCACCACGCCTCCATAAGGCCACCAGATAAAAGGCGGACCGGCGGGAGGCAGAGAAACCCTAAGCCTTTTTTTTCCTTGGAGAGAAGACGGTGGCAGCTGCGTCTAAACGGTTATGCTTTAGGTTGAATATTTTTTGTGAGGGTGACGTGGCTTATATGCAGAGGACGTTCTGTTGTTACACTTCTCATCTGTGTTGCTAGACATACATAAATACATGACTAAAAACGAGATTTAGTTAGCTGTGCCTGGTTTGCAAAGTCTCATGTACATTCATGTTTTTTCATGCACTGTGCCTGGTTTGCAAAGTCTCATGTACATTCATGTTTTTTCATGCACAGTAGTAGTGAGCTATCATGAAGAAAGAAAAATGGACAAGCGGTATAATCATCTGTCGAACTTATTTTACGTCAAAAAAACAAGCCAAGCTGAATTACTGAACTCACAAAGGCAATAGCGTATTGTTGCTCCAGAGTAATTTAATTGCCATGCCGTTTATTTGTAGGGCACGTGCAAACTGTCAAACTCTATTCTCCTCTTATTTAATGGATGAGCCAAATCTTTTGCCTCTGTTTTAAAAAAAAAGGCAATGGCCGAAATTACTTCATCAGGGAACTAGAATAGTAACCTCGGCATGGAGATTTTCGATTTTATATATCTATCTGAATCATAGCTTACACAACTTATTAAACAAAATAAGTTCCACTCGGTCGACCAAACAATCAGCTCAAAACCCTAACTGAGTCAGGGCCCTGGCATATCTGCCAGGTAATGTACATGGAACAACATTGATTTGGCAGGTCAGTAACGGGATGACTCTTGTAACCCAGGAGCTACTCATATATCCAATGCAAAATTTAACAGACAATCACTTGGGATTGTCAACAATGCACTGAAAGCAAAAGGGATTCTTCGAAATTTGTCATAGTCTTAATCTGCTGCCATGAACGGGTCGACATCACCAAGATCGGCAATGAGCGGCTCCATGTCTTCCAACTCGCCTTCTTGTGAGAAATACGTAGGGAACGGCAGCAAAGCTCTGTCAGGTTTCTTGTAAATAGAGTCCTTGACGAAAAGAAAGCTGCCTTGAGGACCAGGAACCTGCAAAGTTCACAAGAGAATGCATAACACACATATCACAACATAAACACTTTAGCTAAGAGACGTACTGCAAAGTGGAGATGAACTTACCTGGCCTTTCAGATACAGTAAGTTCCTGGCAGGGTCAATTTGGTAAACCCATACATTTTTCACTGTGCGTTGAACACCACCCATGCGCCCAGGCATTTTCCTGTTTTTGAAAACCTGCAACATTGTTACAGCTGTTAGCCTATATGGAGTATTACCGGCTGCAGTGTTGTTTTTAGGACACACCAACAGCTTCAAATAGTGCATTCCTACCCAAAAACTAGACTTATAAATGCCAATTCACATTCAGAAGTGCATCTGTTTGTGCTTCTTTAAAGCGGCCTCACTGGTAGCTCACACCTTAGGAAACTTGAAACGTTCAATAATGTTCATTTCTTGGTGATAATTTAAAGTGGCCTCACTGGTCACTTCCACCTGAGGAAACTCGAAAAGTTCCACAATGTTGCAGATAATACATGGAAAGGATTAAGAAAAATAGCTTTTATCGACGGGTTCTACCTTGAGAATGCTATATTTTACTATAAAAACAATCAAGTTCCATGGATTTTCTTTTATTTTGCTCTATATATTTACAAATTCACTCACTAACATCTGTCAGGAGTCAAATCCATTTGGCCATACATGTAAGTAGCTACATTGTTGCTATTGGCACGTATTGTGAGATGGCCGACAGATGGCATATGTGAGCACAGGCCAGTTTGACAAGTATCAAGTAAAATTAGCACCCTTATTGTCTCTATCCAGATTCCGATTGACTTAGGAAGAAAAATAATATGTTCACTAGAAACAAAACCCCAAGGACCTAAACCCTAAAGCCCTAACTACCTTTGTCGCTGATGCATGCGTATTACCGACACCCCTTTTAAGCTTTGAGATTTAACTCCATCAGGATGTAAAAACTTGATTGAGCGAATTTCAAGTCATTGTAGGCCACAAGGGTAAAAGCAAAGTGTGCATATTCTTTTCCGTGAGAAGCATTATTTTGTGGGTCTTATACATCATACATGTACATCCAGTGAAGCCATCAATAAGGCCTCCTTTGGTCCATAGGATAAGAATACCATAGTAGGAATAGAAAAAACATAGGAAGTGAGGTGGCATGCATCTCAATTCCTATAGCAAAAGAGATGTCACTTGATTCATAGGAAAGGAATTTTTCTATTGGGTCTAGGCCCATGTTTTTTTTCCTTTGAAATGTGAAGGATTGGTTCCTATCCTACATAGGAATATGAATTCATTCCTACAAACCAAAGGGCTCCAAACGATTTTTTCCAACAAAATTCCTACAAACCAAAGAAGGCCTAAGATCAGAATAACAGCATACACTACAATCTTAGGGAGACACAATCATTGTTTTGGGCACATACACTGATACATATAAGATTAAACCTTATATGATACTCCCTGAGTAGACACTAAAAAAGATAGAAGATGCAAATCCACATAATATTATGCAGTTATGCACAACACACAAGGCAGTCCTATGATTACTCACTAATTAGAAGTATAAAACAGCACTGCTACTAATTACTGAAGAGGTCTTATCAATCCTAATCATTTTACATATTAGAAATAAACTGGAAAATAAATACAACATCCAAGAATAGTCATGCCAAGAGGGTGCATAACTTCCAGCAGAAGTCCAATGCTGCGTGTTCTAATGGCTACTATGTCTCTTTTCAGAGGAGAGATGTATACGAATTGTTCAGTGCGTGGACTTGTGAGTTTATAACATACCCTGCCAGGAGCATCCCTTTGACCTGTAGAACCGATGCTGCGATGTGATAAAGAAGCACCATGTGATGCAGGCATCCCACTAAAACCATGTCTTTTCATGCCACCCTACAAGAGTAGAAAATATAATGTTATATAATTGATGTACAGTGTTACATTGACATATTTCAGTAATTGGTTTGTTCTAAAAGAGGAAAGCACTAGTATCTTAAGTGTAGCAGCAAAAGTTAAGTTGTAATATTATGAGAATATATATATACTTGATTGTATTGGCGACGTGAAATTAAGTTGGAACATTGAAAATCATCCACAACTTAGATTAACATCTCCAAACTAACATTATACCAGTGTTCATTGATTATGAGTCAGAGTGACTAGTCGCTAGACTACTCTATGAGTCGCATTCTGGGTGTCGACTAGAAATCTCGTGTAGACTAGTTCGCCGAGTCGAGCAGTCGAAGGACTAGTCGTGCACCTTGAGTCGTTCGACAAAAAAAAAGGGGATTGGGAGGGGATAAGTGAGCGAGCCGCCCAGCCCGCAGCCCATGGGAGGGAAAATTTCGCCCGCTAAGTTTCCAGCCCGCTCTGAGTCGCCTCGCCTGGGAGTCTGGAAGGAGGCGCCGCCAGCACCCATTGTCCCACTGGTGCTGGCACCCACCACCGCCCATCCACCCCTGCTTGCTTCAGTTTCAAGATCCTTCGGTCTGAACTGCAATGTCTACGCTGCCGGCGATACCTCAAGTAGTGTGTTCAGCAGCAGCTGCAGCTCAAGCGGATGAGCAATACAATCCATCGAAGGATCCTGCAAGAAGCCAACTAGGAGCAAGGATCCAGAATGGAAATATGCTTATTGGCCTGATATGCAGGACAAATTGACGCTCCAATGCACTTTGTATAGTATATACTCCCTCCGTCCCGAATTACTTGTCTTACATTTGTCTAGATACGGATGTAGCTAGACACGTTTTAGTGTTAGAAATATCCGTATCTAGACCAATCTAAGACAAGTAATTTGGGACGGAAGTAATATTACATACTAATACTAGGTTTTAGTAATTGATTACTGCAAGTTGCTACAGTACCATGTCAGACTAGCCCAGCAGTAATCTAGACTAGTCATGATTAGTCTATGAGTCTCAACCTTTGAACGACTCGTCGACTCGTAAACGTTGCTAGTGTTACATTTAAAAGAAACTTAAAACAATTTTTATCAATTAAGTTGATCTCACATATAACCACATTGCACTTTTAATTACCAGCAATCAATATTTGTATTTATCTATGTTTTTAAAAATCATTGGCAATGACTCGATTGTCAGAGAGTCAGCAGGGAAAGCAAACATTGAGGTTTTTGGAACAAGGCTGCTTCCTAAAATCAAGGGATAGCTAGGACCCTAGGATGTACAGACAACATTTTGTAGCAGATGCACACAATTTTAATTGTCTATTTTTGAGCTAACTGAAGGAAGAGGTGTTACGGAAGGAAACCAACAATTTAATGATGTCGTGTTCAAATAAAATGGTAAACATGGTGATTTGTCAGCAAGTGCAAAACCCATTTTACGCGGTAGACAAAAATACATACCGCAAAACCTTTTCCCTTTGTGATTCCAATGACATCCACAAATTGCCCGGGTACAAAATGACGAACCGAGATGGTTGTCCCAACAGGAAGAAGTGCATCCTCAGTAACAGGAAACTCCTTTAATTTTCTCTTAAGAAGGACTCCTTGTGATCTAAAGTGGCCCACTTCAGGCTTTGTTAGATGCTTTTCCTTCTTTTGGCCTGCTCCGAGCTAAAAAAATACCAGGAAAGACTTTCAGAAGTTAGCGAAAATTTGCACTATAAAAGTGGTAACAACAAAACCTGAAGAGCATAAGTGCTACAAACTAAACATATATACTTGCATTTAGATCAACAAAATACAGAACCAAGATGGAATGTTTATATTGCACTAATGTGTCTAAATTATCCATTCTGGGGCAGGTAGTCATCTGCAATACAGCAACTGGCATGAACTTAGCGCTAACAAAACTCGATGGTTATACCTCAAGCATATTTCTAGTTGTTACTACTCCCTCCGGTCCTTTTTACTCTGCACATTGGTTTTGCCGAAAGTCAAACTTTGCTAAGTTTGACCAAATTTATATTAAAAATTATTAACATCTATAATATTTAATAAATATAATATGAAAATATATTCCAAGATGAATCTAATGATATTGGTGTTGTTATGTGAATGTCTATAATTTTTTATATAGACTTGGTCAAAGTTGGATGAGATTGACTTCAGACAAACCTAATATGCAAAGTAAAAAGGACCGGAGGGAGTACAAATTTAGGAGATGACAAAACCTTGGCAGCACAATTAAAACAGCCTGATTTGATCAGACAACCTAATACACCCAATATCATGTTTGTAGAGAATGGTAAGAAAACGTGAAGCAGGCTAGGTGTTCTCTTTTCTAAATCATAATTCCCAGCTTGGAGAGACGTGGGAAGAAAATCGCTATTACATGAGTTTGGTTACAAACATAAATTAAACATAGCTACCTTCGGCAGCTAGTCTGAACGCTAATGATCTAGTCATGTAGTGAGTTACCAATAAGTCATCGAAGAGCAGTTACAATTCTACAAAAAATATTTTACAACATCTCACGTCTAGATCGAACCTTAATCACATGGGAGGCCAAAACTTTAGACCTAAAGGCACAAAACACTCAAATTGCTTTGAGTCTTAACAGATGGGTAAAAACTAGCACTACTTTTATGGGTCTAATTCCTTAAGATTTCACAGAATCAAGTTCCAATACTTATTTTCTCAGTGGAACACCAATAGGAGTACTTATTTTGTCAGTGAAAGCGTGAAACAATGCAGCAGTTTGTGATCCCTGTCATATACAAAGTTTGGTACAAAGATGAGAAATTTGCAGCACCTGCAGCGCGTAGAACCCCTCCTTCTCGGCGGTCTTGACCTGGCAGACGACATTGTCGTCCACCCAGAGGACGGTGATGGGAACTTTGGCCCCCCACTTGTCCCACATCGCCGACATGCCGCACTTCACGCCGATCACGCCGGTCCGCCGGGAGTCCGGGCCCATAACACCAGGACGCGCCTCTATGATCCGGCCTCCGCCCTCGCCGCCGGCGCTGGCATCGTCGTCGTCGGGATGGGAGACGAGAGGCTCCGCGGAGAAGAGGCGGCAAGGGGGGAGGCGGGGCCCGGCGAGGGAGAGGTGGCGGAGGCGCGCGAGAAGGCCTCTCGAGGCGGCCGCCATGGCGGTGGCGGCGGCGGCGGCGGCGTTGGCGTTGGTTGTGCGCTGGAGATGGGACCCGCGGCGGGATGGGTGGGGGTTTACGCGGCGGCGAGGTGGGTAGGGTTTAGTGAAGTGGGGAGATCGGGGGGAATGGCCCAGATGGGGAGGAGCACGCACATGGCCACACTTGTAACTGGGCCTCTGCCTCCATTTTCTTCTTTCAGCGATGCCTTGTAAAAAAAAATCTCAAATACGCATGAGTGTGTATACTTTACACTTAGGGTATGTTTGGGACTGCTCCGCTTCATGAAAATTGATTTCACTCCACTAAATTCACTTTAAAGCAGTTTCATCCAAAAGTTATAGTACTACCAAAGAGAATGTTTGGCTTCCATCTAACTCTCCAGCTTCAAAAAAAAAAAAAACTCTCCAGCTTCAAGAATAGGAAATTTGGTGAAAATGATCTATTTGATTGGTTGAGGAGGAAGAAACGAAGGGGTATCCACTTACTGGTGGTAGTGGTGGGTAATTTCCACCCAACTCCAGCTTCTAGAGTTTTTTGAAGCAGACAACTATCGCTAACTCCTTGCATCACTACCCGCCGTTAGAGCCACTAGGAAACTATTCATGCCCGTCTTGAGGATGCCCGTTGTCTTCCAAGTTCTACACACTATTTCTATTCTATGGATTATGCTCTCCAAAAATGGGGTGGCGTCGTCGAAGACGATCGCGTTGTGATGCTTCCAAATCTCCAACATGACGAGCAAGACTAGAGCCTGAATGTCCGTGCCGCCAGCAGCGTTTCCAACTTTGCTTACGCACCAATCAAGGAGTCTCGTAGTGCTAGTTGGCACCCATTCCTGCTTGTTCATCGCTCTGCAGACTCGAATCCACACCTCCCTTGCGAGGATGCACTGAATGATGATATGGTGTATGCTCTCTTTCGCTTGATCACAAAACGGGCAGGCATCTTGGTGGTCCAGTCCATGTCGAGCCAATCTATCTGAGGTCCAACACCTATTTCAGAGTGCTAGCCACGCAAAAAACCTACATCTCAATGGTGCCTTTGATTTCCATGTGAACTGGGTTGTCGGTGCCACCTCACGTCTCCAAACTCTTGCATTGTATACTGATGTCGCTTGAACTATGTCGGTATTTCCCAAAGAGAAATGGATGATGCAGCACATCTACGGTAGATATTTCCCTCAGTTATGAAACTAAGGTATCAATCCAGTAGTAGAACCAAGCAACACTATGTAAACGGTACCTACACACAAAGAACAGATACTTGCAACCTGACGCGTATGAGGGGTTGTCAATCCCTCTTCCGGGTAACAACGCCAAAAATTGTCAAGTTGATAGGATAAAATTTATGATAGATTGGATAAATATATCTCGAATAAACATGAAATAAAAGATGCAAATAAAAAGTGCAGCAAAATGTTTTTGAGTTTTTAGAATAATAGATCTGAAAATAAATGCAAATAAAAATAGATCTAGAAGACAAATAATAGATCAGAAAGCAAATATGATGAAGAATATACCCGGGGCCGTAGATTTCACTAGTGGCTTCTCTCAAGAAATAGCACATGATGGGTAAACAAATTACTGTTGGGCAATTGAAAGAAAATCGAATAGTTATGACGATATCCAGGCAATGATCAATATATAGGCATCACGTCCAAAATTAGTAGGCCGACTCCTGCCTGCATCTACTACTATTACTCCACACAACGACCGCTATCCAGCATGCATCTAGTGTATTAAGTTCACGGAGAAACGAAGTAATATAATAAGAACGATGACATGATGTAGACGAGATCTATTCATGTAGGAATAGCCCCCATCTTGTTATCCTTAATAGCAACGATACATGCGTGTCTTGCTGCCCTTTCTGTCACCGGGAAAGAACACCGCATGATTGAACCCATCATAAAGCACCTCTTCCCATGGCAAGAAAAATCGATCTAGTTGGCCTAACTAAATCAAAGATTTCGAAGAAGAAATATGAGGCTATAAATAATCATGCATATAAGAGATCAAAAGAAGACTCAAATAATATTCATGGATATAGATCTGATCATAAACTCAAAGTTCATCGGATCCCAACAAACACACCGCAAAAAGTGTTACATCAAATAGATCTCCAAGAGACCATTGTATTGAGAATCAAGAGAGAGAGAGGAAGCCATCTAGACCCGTAGGTCTATGATGAACTATTCACGCATCATCGGAGAGGCACCAATGAGGATGATGAATCCCTTTGTGATGGTGTCTAGATTGGATCTCGTGGTTCTGGAACTTGCGGTGGCTGGAATTGTGTTTCGCCGACACCCCTAGAGTTTCTGAAATATTTGGGAATTTATAGGGCGAAGAGGCGGTGCGGGAGGTCACCGAGGAGGGCACAACCCCCAGGGCGCGCCTGGGCCTCCTGTCGCGCTCTGGTGGGTTGTGCCCACCTCGGGCCTCCCCTCTAGTACTTCTTTGGCCCACTAGTGGTCTTCTGGTCCAAAAAAATTCTCCAAAAATTTTTGATGCGTTTGGACTCATTTGGTATTGATTTTCTGCGAAGTAAAAAACAAGAAAAAAAAGAACAACTGGCACTGGGCACTATGTCAATATGTTAGTCCCAAAAATGATACAAAGTTGCTATAAAATGATTGTAAAACATCCAAGTATGATAATATAACAACATAGAACAATAAAAAATTATAGATACGTTGGAGACGTATCATATGCCAGCTGCACCGAGAATGTTCCGCTCGACTGTTGGGAAACATCGTAGAAAACAAAAAAATGCGCCTACGCACACCGAAGATTAATATGAAGATGCATAACAGGTTGGGATCACGTTCGTTACCGTTACCGACTTGAAGCAGAAGAAGAACGTGTTGGTGTAGATCGTACTTGGAGTCCCTCGAACCATCGATGAACGATCCCGTGAACTTCCCACGAACAATCCCTTGAACCGAAGACAGAAAGCACGACCTCTCTGCTTGGTTGCAAGCATGCAACCTTCATGATCCGACAGCGCTTCACCGTCTAAAGCTAATCATCACCAGAGAATTAGAGGAAGAGGATTAGAACCACAAAGGTGGAAGGATCGATATGGTTGACTAGAGGGGGTGTGAATATGCAACTGATAACCCACAAGTATAGGGGATAAATTGTAGCTTTTTCGATAAATGAGAGTGTCAAACCCAACGAGGAGCTAAAGGTAGGATCAAAGTTTGAGAAAGCGCTAGGCGTTAATTATGCGTTTGGCCACCTACTTGCGCTTTTCTAGCTTAGGTCTGATTAGGCGCAGTTATGTGTTTTCTATACAATTTGTACGGATACGAGAGTTTGCCATAAAAATAGTGCTAGAATGTAAACTGGAGGTACAATTATAAGTTTATAACCTTGTTCTCTCTCCAACATGTTGCCCCTCCCTCTTTGTGTGTTGTCCTCCAATCCTCTCCCTCCAATGCATTCTGCAGCAACTACATACATCATAGAGAAGATGACAAGATGTTAGCAGCAGCAACCAGCAAGCAAGCAAAGCATCCAAAACTTTGAAAGCATCATATATGTAATTGTAATTTAGTAATTATGTAAATTGTAATAATAACTAAGGAGCTTATCTAGTTGGATCATAGCCTTCTCCCGTTCCCAACTTCTCCAAATTGAATGAGCAGTCAAAGCAAGCTAGCAAAGTAGCAAACAAGCAATGCAATGGGCAGATCATATCACAACTTCACAAGCAAGCATATAACAAATAAAAGTCTTAAACTTGCTTGGTTCAATCAAACCAAAGTACCACGACCACGATCGACGATAGTCTCACCACTCCATCATAGTCTCTTACATAACAAATGACAAACAAAAGACAAATGCATGAATTCAAATGCATGATAACTTGGTCACTTGATGGTATGATGTGTTGGGGAACATAGTAATTTCAAAAAAAAAATCCTACACACTCGCAAGATCATGGTGATGCATAGCAACGAGAGGGAGAGTGTTGTCCACGTACCCTCGTAGACCGAAAGCGGAAGCGTTAGCACAACGCGGTTGATGTAGTCGTACGTCTTCACGATCTGACCGATCAAGTACCGAACGCACGGCACTTCCGAGTTTAGCACACGTTCAGCCCGATGACGTCCCTCGAACTCCGATCCAGCAGAGTGTTGAGGGAGAGTTTCGTCAGCACGACAGCGTGGTGACGATGATGATGTTATACCGACGCAGGGCTTCGCCTAAGCACCGCTACAGTATTATCGAGGTGGACTATGGTGGAGGGGGGCACCGCGCACGGCTAAAAGATCAAATCAATTGTTGTGTCTTTGGGGCGCCCCCTGCCCCCGTATATAAAGGAGCAAGGGGGGAGGTGCGGTCGGCTAGGAGGAGAAGGGGGGAAAGAGGAGGGAGATGGAAGGAAAGGGGGGGCGTCGCCCCCCTCTCCTTGTCCTATTCGGACTAGAGGGGGAGGGGCGCGCGGCCTTGCCCTAGCCGCCTCTCCTCTTCTCCACTAAGGCCCACTATGGCTCATTAAGCCCCCGGGGGTTTCCGGTAACCCCTCGGTACTCCGGTAAAATCCCATTTTCACCCGAAACATTTCCGATATCCAAATATAGGCTTCCAATATATCAATCTTCATGTCTCGACCATTTCGAGACTCCTCGTCATGTCCGTGATCACATCCGGGACTCCGAACAACCTTCGGTACATCAAAACTCATAAACTCATAATATAACCATCATCGAAACTTTAAGCATGCGGACCCTACGGGTTCGAGAACTATGTAGACATGACCGAGACAATAACCAATAGCGGAACCTGGATGCTCATATTGGCTCCCACATATTCTACGAAGATCTTTATCGGTCAGACCGCATAACAACATACGTTGTTCCCTTTGTCATCGGTATGTTACTTGCCCAAGATTTGATTGTCGATATCTCAATACCTAGTTCAATCTCGTTACCGGCAAGTCTCTTTACTCGTTCCGTAATACATCATCCCGCAACTAACTCATTAGT